TATTCCATTGAGTGCATGTGTGGGAGGAAGAGACAGAAACGGACTGAAAAAAAGTACAAAAGAAAAGCACATTTTTATGGCATGTGTGGGTTAATTACTGCATGACCGTGCTGAGAGCAGTGAACTCTGACTTGGGTCCGGGATGGGCTTCTCTGATTGGCTGAAAAAACCGAACATGTATAATTAGTGGGAATCGGCTTGCTGTGACCTTTGTTTTCAGCAGAATATATTTGAGAAATGTTTGTAGAATGAAACACAAGACAGAAACTATTGCAGTACTCCAAATATTTCTTTTTTTTAGTTTCCTTCGTATTTCATCCTTAAAGTGGCATTGCTTTCTAAGCTTTCCAATAGATTGTATTGAAAGAGAATAAACAACAGCTCAAACATCTGCAAAGGTTTGTCATGATCTAAATGGGAAAATGAGCTTATTTGATTGCTTATAAAATGTTTAACAGCTTTTAGAGCACAACTATCTTGTGTCCAAATGTTTGAGTGATACTGACCTCTGAACATTACAAAATGTGCTTTACTGCAGTTAATTACAGTTCGTGTTTTTTCATATGCGTGATTATGTTTCACCCGGAATATGTTGTCTACTGTGGATAAACTTTACATGTATCATAACTGAGGACCTAAAATTTATTCCTATGTATAAATTTGCTTTGTGTGGTGCTATTTGCACCATTTTCAAACTTTTACCACAATAGACTACAAATAATGGTGTAGGACCTCAATCTGTAAGGGACTGGCAACCTGTCCAGGGTTTAAAACCATTTTTGCACTGTTGAAAATAGGCTTAAGTCCCATGTGACCCATCACACAAAACAAAAATTTAAATTCAGTGGATGGATTGGCAAGTGGTTGGTAGAATCACGTAAAAAGGGTCAGTAGATAATCCACTGTGGGGTCATGTATGTCTGAAGGCACAGGACTCTATGATGTTAAAAACCTGAGAAGTTGGATGGATAAAAACAGCTCACATACTGGGACAACTGATAACAGGGTGAAAGAAGATTGGTTCATTAACTTACATATGAATAACAGCTAGGAGAGGATTGCTGTATGAACCATTTGATTCCAGAAGACATTTCTGCCTGTACAGTGGCAGAGGACGCAACAAAGTTGTTTGACATAAAATCAAGTTAAGCCATTGACTCCAAACATTATGGCCTTTACTCTGCAGAAGGTTTGCATATCTTAAAGGAGGTGCAGACGTGTTTGGACATGCAGAGCAGATCTTTAAATAAGACGCAGTGTAATCCACATTTGCAATTGAGCATTTTTTGTGTGTGCGTGTGCCTTCATCAGTATGTGGATCATATTCTAATGACCAGATCTTGCAAATTCATGGATGGAGCAGTAGAACCAAATATGGAGAAGCAGTATTTAGTTCCTATGCTCCACTTATCTGGAACAAACTCCCAGAAGACTGTATAAGTGCTGAAAACCTGAGTTCTTTTAAGTAAAATTTAAAAATCAATTTGTTTAGAACTGCCTTTGACTGTTGAAGTTGAACTGATAACAGGTGTTATTAGTTTAAGGTTGGGGTCCGACTGTTGTATTTGTCTTACTCATGTTTCTATCTTTACCTTATTTTATTCTGCTTTTATTTTTGTTCATTTTTATTATCTAATTCGTACAAGGCAGGTTGAAATGTCTATATACTGAATTGTGCTATACAAATAAACTTGACTTGCCAAAATATATACAACACCTCTTGTAATATGATTTCTATAAAAGAAACTCAGTTGCAGAGGCAGTTATTGTGTCTTTAGTACTTTTGAAAGACTGTTGCAAACTGACGAGCAAAAAACAGGCATTGGTACGAAGGAAGTTGTTTAAATATTATCTAGTATTATCTAGCATTATTATTATTTTAATAACCATTATTATAATTTTTATCTGCATGGCTTTGAACTTCATCTTTCTTTTACAATCGTTCTCAAACTGTCAGAAGAAAACCCAATCTAACCCAATTAATGGGCAGAACCAAAGCAATTTTCATGTCCTAATATTTGCACAGCAATATTTGTAGATCAGCTGCAACTCATCCTATTAATGCACGTACTGAAAAAAATAAGTTTATTTTAGGGCCTCTCATATGGAATTTTTGAGGATCAGGCCCTACATGATTTGTTAGTGTAGACAGTATGATCCCTTGTAAATTTATTTTTATTATTTCACATATTTGTTAGTAGCTCAATCTGTTGTGTATTAGCTATTCTTGAATTTAAAAGCTGAAAACTGAAGAAATAAATTTTCACATAAATTTTAAAATAGTTCTTGTTCAAATTTCTTTCAACTTGTTAATTTTGACTAACATGTATTTGTGTTTTAATTATTTGTACCCTTAAAATTTCTCAAAGTATAAAACACTTTTAAATTGACTAGGAATGTCCCAATTCCTTACTGATATCATAAACTGCTCTGATAAAAGCCAAAACACTAATAGCAGAATATGTTGGCTTGCATTTAAATCCCCTACTGTATATAAGCAAGCTGATAAAAGTCTTAAATTTTCTATTTAAAGAACAAATTGTAGGCTACATTTTTGACAAAATGCTGAATAATTGTCTAATGGATGATATTTGAAAGTATATTTAGTGTTTAAAATGCTTGGGCTCCATAACGAAGTGAATTGAACAAGAAGTGTAATTTTTTAGCAATGTCTTGAAAACCTGCTTAATTTTTTAAGAAGTAGCATCATTTGACGTCACATGGACAAGGCAAATGGTCATTGCTATTTCAGCCCTGTATGGAGAGCAGGTAGTTAAAGTAAAACTGATGTGTAATTGAGTTTTGTAGAAGTTTGAAATTGCATTTATTGATCATAAACATGGTCAAATATTGCATTTTAGGGAGCTGCAAAAACTCTGCTGAATGAAACTGAAATAAATGAAAGTTGTTCGCTCGGAGGGACTGAGATGCTACCAGTATTCCAGCCCCAATAAAAATATTACTGGAGCCGAGGCACAGTAAACATGAGAGCCCACACACACTTGCTAGTGGCTGTCTGATTGGGAACTGTGAATGTGATCAATATGAATCCTGGAAAAACTTTAAATAAAGGGGGAAAAAAATGTATCTGTTCTCTCTGGCGGTGCAGTGTGCACATGCACAAAAGGTAGCCAACATTGCTCCACCAGCAGCTGGTGTTTCCTGCAGCTTACCAGCCCAGGTTTGGCACTTTGATCTGTTTTCATGTTCTTAAAACAGATCACTGGGCTATATCCAGAGATGGCAAAAGTACTCACTTTCTGTACTTGAGTAAAAGTACAGATACTTGTGTTAAAAAATACTCT